GGTCGGTCGGTCGGTCGGTCGGTCGGTCGGTCGGTCGGTCGGTCGGTGTGTGTGTCTGTCTGTTTGTCTGTCTGTCCTGTCCTGTCCTGTCCTGTCCTGTCCTGTCCTGTCCTGTCCTGGTCTGGCTGTCTGGCGTCTCTGTCTCTGTCTCTGTCTCTGTCTCTGTCTGTCTGTCTGTGTGTCTGTTTGTGTGTGTGTAACCCTTGGAATCATGGATTGCTCTCGCTTTTGTGAGCTTTTAGCAGGGGGGCAATGAACACTTTGGAAGGCATTGCCCAACGAAGACCCTTCCATCGTGTTGTGATATTCCTGAGGGACGCCTCGGGAACGTACCTGCTATTTTCCTTTTCCATTTGAATGGCGAGAGGCTAAGCCAAGAACCTCGAAACTTTGATGTTTTCTTTGAACTGCAGATGCGAGCGGCACGTCGTCAGCCTGTTCGTCCGTCGTCCGTTCTTTTCCTTTTGGGCCCTACTTCCTCTTGAAGACCTCCAGGATCCAGTGGTTCGTACGTGTACCCTTAGGAAATGGAACCCTAGGCCGGCGTGTGGCACCGCTTTCAGTTCAGTACACAATATCCTAAGTGTGTTTGGCCTTGTGCCAACCCGGGATGAGCCCGCAGAGTGCCTCCCGTGGACCCGTCGAACGGGTGTACGTCGTTATCTCCCCTGCCTGGAGATGTAGATGCCCAGAGCGGGCGAAGGTGGCCTAGGCCGTACGTACGATGATCTTTGTCTCATCTTTGGAATTCCAAGTTGGCTCACGCTTTTACGTGACCGCAGCGGTCAAAGCAGCCAGCCATTTCGGCAGGGCACAAGGTGACCACAGCGGTCAAAGCAAGTTTAAGGTCCATTGGGACCTGTGGAGAACTTAGCCCCCTTCCCCCCTGCCCTCCCCCTTTCTTTCCTTGCTTTCTGGGGTTTTCCTGAATGTAATACTCAGGATCTCCCCTTTCCTTCTTTGGTGTGTCCCTGGACGATTGTTCGTAGCTGGGAACACCTTCCTTTCTCTCCTCTCCCTTTCTCTCCCTCTCTCTTTCTTTCCTTCTCTTTTTCCTCTCTTTTCCCTCTTCCCTGGGTGTCCCTGGATGCTTCGTCATAGCTGGGAGCCCTTCTTTTTGGTGTGTCCCTGGACGCATGTGTCGTAGCTGGGAGCACCTTTGTCTCCTTCTTTCTTTCCCTCTCTTTTCTTCCTCCTCCTGCCGCCTGCCCCCTCTTTCTTCTCCGTCTGTCTGTCCTGTCCTGTCCTGTCCTGTCCTCTCCTCTCCTCTCCTCTCCTGTCCTCTCCTGTCCTGTCCTGTCCTGTCCTATCCTGTCCTGTGCTGTAGCAGGCGGACGAGCTAGGGCTAACGCTATATGCTGAGCCGAAATACTGGTTGTATGGCCTCCTATCCTTCTGTCCTGTCCTTTCCTGTCCTGTCCTGTCCTGTGCTGGTCTGTCTGTCTGTCTGTCTGTCTGTCTGTCTGTGAGTGAAACCCTTGGGAACCAGTTGATTTTTAGCGAGGGGCATGCGGCTATCACGCAGACGCACGCCAACGAAGCTATGCGTGGTATAGTAGTGGAAAAGCCAGGTCTGATCAACCTGGTGTACCTGCCTTTTTGGAATTGCTGCCAAAGCTGTTACTCCAATCTTCCATCAAGGGCCAATGCATTCTGCAGATGTGCGCGGTCGTCGTCACCTTGTCGTATCGTGACTGTCAACTTGGGGCCTCTCCTTTGATTCAGTTGAACTTCCAGGATGCTCAGACCCCCTTACGAGTGCCAATTCAGTTCAGTATGCAATATCTCGAGTGTGCCTGGCTTCATGCCAGCCCAGGGTGTACCCCACAATGGTCCCCTGTGGCCCCGTGGAACGAAGGTTTGTCGACGGTCCCACAGCTCGAAAACAGAGTAGCCCGAAGCACGGAGTGGGTGCCGTTCTCGCTGGAGAGCGCTGCCCGTAAAACATTTTTTGCTGCTGCTGCTGCTGCGGGCTTTGTGCTGCTTCCGTGCTGCTTGCGCACTGCTGCTGCTTCCCCAACGCAATTGGGATGATTTGGTACAAAACCCAAACATTCTTGCAACCGGTAACGGAGCAGTAAACGCCTTGTAAACAGGAACCTGACGTCTCCATGCGGACTAACCTTTTCGAGTCACCTGATGTGACTAATGACTAACGTTAATGAGAACATGTTCTGTTTGCATTGTTCGTTGTCCCTGCTTGCCCGCCAAGGCCCCCAACACACCGTGAAAGCAGGAACTTGGTCGGCCCATCCCCTTTGCCACGCAGCCTGTTGGCTGCCCAAATGTGACATGTGTAATGACAGGTTTGGAGCCTTCCCTGAGGGCAAATTTGCCTTGGTAGGCTGGGTGTGCTGCACATAACTACTTTCAACATGGAAGCCTTCAAGCAGGCTGTACTTGTGGTCCCGCTTTTGAGTTTGAGCACTTCGAAATGGCGAACGGGAAATCGCTGCAGCTACCTCAGCTGCCTGCAATGCCTCAGCCACTCATTTTCCATGGGCTCTCCGCGTTTCCGGCTCAAGGCTGGAAACCTACCCAGAGGCCGAGAAGTTCATCCGACAGCTGTCGCAGGCCCCTTTGCTCAACAGGCGGTTCTAAGACCTGAGCGGCCTGAGCATTGAGAGGTATGACTCATATGATTCCACTCTCCGACCAGCTGGTGGCCAATCGTTTGGAGGAACGCCCGAGTTGGCCTTCTGCAGAACACACGCAGTTTTTTCTTCAATACTTTTGGAACACATATGCCCTGTTTCACGGCACTGCGTTTCCGGAACCACATGGATCCATCATTCTGTCCGAAGCTGTTGGTTCCTTTCTTTCTCACCAGCGTTGTTTGTTCACGAGTACTTGCCCAAGCGCTGCCAGTTATAGTTTACCTGAGTATGGATTGATCCAACGCACCCTTATAACTGACCCCACACATCTTGCTCCTAATTTCTTTCCAGCTTCTGTCCTTCTATGTCTCCTGACCCGGTACCCTTGCGAATTGTACACCAAGTTTTCATGCTTGGCTTGGTTCCCCCTCGGAACTCCCACTGTGGTCGACAGCTTTGGCTTGTGATTTCTCTGCAACACTTGGCCGCATATTTCACACTGCCCCACATTGGAACAATGTTTCGCCTGCATTATTTCCCCACTGGGCTTCAAATCCGCGCCACCACTACACTCCCCCAATCCTATAGTTTTTTCTTCCCTCAAGCCCGCGCCTTGCGCCGCAGCTACGTTCAAGTTCCATGACACCCCACCCATTTCTTATTTTGTGTGTACGTGTGTGTGTAACCTTTGGAGTCACAAGGTTCCTGTTGGGATGTTCCTTTTTTTAATGCAGGGGGATGCCCCACACCTGAAGAGAGGGCGTCTAATAAAGAGGCTCTTCAGGTTGTGCTGATATCAGCAAGGACGCTTGCTGACGTACCTGCATCAACTTTTCAAGTTTTGCAGCAGAAATGCACGCCGCGCCGTCATTTGTCGGTTCGATCTCGACTTGAGTCTTTGGCCCCTTCTCCTTTTGAAGACCTCCAGGTTCCTCAGGGTTTACTTGAATTGTTCAGGATTTGGGAACCCAGGTTGGCGTGTGGCAACCGCTTTCAAGCCAGTATGCATTTCTACAAGTGTGTCTCTCCTCGTGAGAGCGCAGGGTGAGCCCGCAGAGTGCCCCCTGTGGACCCGTCGACCGGGGGTTTGTCTTTATCTCCCCTGCCCGGAGATGTACGTGTCCAGAGCGGACAGCAGGAGGCTTATGCCAAAGTTATTGGCCAAGACCTGAGGGATTATTGAATTCCAAGTTGGCTATGCCTCTACGTGGCCGCAGCGGTCAAAGCAGCCATTTTGGCACGGCGCAAGGTGACCAGAGCGTTCAAAGCATTTTTAAGGGTCCATCGGAACCCGTCGCCACCTCAAGTGCACACACAGCACATACATTTTCAACAAGGTTTGCTTAGGTTTTCTAATAAGGTTCGGGTTCATAGGTTTTCGTCCCCTCCATTTGTTTTCCCTCTTCATCCCTTCCCCTTCGCGCACTTGTGTTTTCCTCTTTTCTTTCATGTCCTCCTGTCTTCATGTCTGGTCATCTCATCCTTTCTTTCGTTTGCGCGCACATGGGTCCCGGCCTTAGTGTGTACGTGCGCAACCCTACTTCAACCTAGGTTTCAGGTCGCCCAGGTCTTTATAATGAGGCGGGTTTTCATTGGTTGTGGTTCCCTTTCATCCCACCACCCACACCTTTGTCCCGTGTGGTCCCCTTTTCATGTCTTCATTCTTTTGTCTTGTTGCTTGCGCAGTTACACTTTGCCCTGACCTTAGCGCTTCTCGCCTCCCCTCGCGGGGGCGTGTGTGTGTGTGTGTGTCACCCCCTGTATCTAAGGGTTCCACCTCTTCTCTCACTTTCAACTTTTTTTGAGCAGGGGGCAGAGGGATCTCCAGTTGTGGCCTCTGCCAACGAAGCTCCACACTGGACGATCAGGAAAACGTACCTGCGATCAACCGTTGCTCACGCTGTTCCACTCTTGGTTTGTTTCATGGTGGTTCATGATACCTCCCGCAAACTTTCTCCCCCCACCGCTTTCTGCAGCTGACGAGCCACCGCCGCTTTCGCGAGAGTTTTGCGAGCTTTTCTGAAAACATGTTGTTCAAACACCTTCAAGTGTCTGGACGCTTCACCTTACCGTTGAGCCATTCCTTTCCTCGGGGAATTGCGTTAACTGAAAACCAATGTCAGAGTGTGTAACCTTTGGAGTCACAAGATTCCTGTTGGAATGTTTCTTTTGTTTTTTAAGCGGGGGGATGCCCCACACCTGAAGAGAGGGCATCTAACAAAGAGGCTCTTCAGGTTGTGCTGATATCAGCAAGACGCTTGCTGACGTACCTGCATCAACTTGTAAAGTTCTTCGGCAGACATGCGCGCCACGCCGTCATTTGTCGGTTCGATCTCGACTTGAGTCTTTGGCCCCTTCTCCTTTTGAAGACCTCCAGGTTCCTCAGGGCTTGTTTGAATTGTTCAGGACTTGGGAACCCAGGTTGGCGTGTGGCAACCGCTTTCAAGTCAGTACGCATCTGTATAAGCGTGTCAATCCTTGCGGCGCTTTGCCCCAGAATCCGACTGTGCTTTACCATGTTGTCGGACCTTTCTGAAGCTCTGCCCTTTGTCCCTCTCAGCTTCCAAAAGCGGTCTCATAAATCTCTTCCGGATTCCGGGCAAAAGCTCGCAGGACTGAGGACGACTCCCGTTTTTGCGCTTTGCCGCAGGAATATCTCCCGGAAATTCTTGCTTCAGCCCTCCATCAACAGCAAGGTGCTTTCTTTCCTGCATGCTGTCCGACATTATGTTGTAATCCATGTGTTAGCCGGTTGCCCAAGGCTCAGAATTTCCTTCTTCAAATGGCTTATGTTCGTGGCTGCAGCCCTTGAGCAGATGTGCTGGTGGCCTGATTTCATCAAACTCTTGAATGCCTCAAAGAAGGCATTTGATCAGAAGGCTCTGGCCAAAGAGCGCGATCACTGCGCTGGTTTGCGAGTGTCATTGTCAAGGCCGCCATATCTCTAGACTCTAAACTTCATCTTAGAAGCTTCAGGTTCAAGCCTTCAAGTGCTCATTTCGGAGCCCAATGTGCAGCTGATGACTGATGACTTCAGTGAATCCACAATGCCAATCACTGGCTTCTTGCTTCTTCTGAAACTGTGCTCAGTGAGGAGGTGTGAATCCCACAAATGCCTGTCCCCAAGATCGCTTCTCCTACGCTGCGATTGTCGATCCTTATCATTTTTATCGACCGCGAACCCTTCATCATTGGGGATTTGGTGTTGGTGAGCGGTACTCAACCAGACGATTCTCACACCTGCCTAAAATGCATGGTGGTGGGATCAAATCCAGATGGTACTTACAACGTGGAGTGCTCTGCCAATGACGAGCTGCTGCTTACAGTTGAGAAGAACGAGCTAGCCTATGCTGAAGGGGATGCTTTTCGTTTCAACTGCGGCGAGTATTCCTCCAGGTGTATGTGGCCCTCTTCAACTCTCGTCTGAGGACTCCATAGAAGACTTGCCCAGGTCCATTGCAGAACATGTCAGCGCCCTGGTTGCGTGCGCAGACTCCACCTGACTCCAAATGACCTGCTTTATTGAAGGTCTTTTGCTTCGATTGAGGCTTGTTGTTGTGTTTTTGACAGGGGTACTTGCCGGGTTGCATAATTGCCTAGATGCAGCATACAGCCATACGGCTTTTGCATGCTAAGGCTTCCTGTGAGGACCTCGACCCAGACTTTTTTGTCGGTCGGTGAGGCAGAGCGCGAAGCGCTGCTCACAGCCCCACCATGGGCCGACCGTGTCAGTGACGTGCTGCCGAGCCTGTGTTGGCTCTCACGTGCTTGGCAGTGATTGCAAGCCTGATCCAGTCACAGGCTCCAACGTGATTCCAGATCAGTTCCGCGATCGAGGGTCGGCTCCCTGGTTGAGTGTGTTTGCGCACGTCAGCCATGACAACTGTCAGCTTTGGCAGCCTGGGACAATTGAGACCTATGGGGAGGGGCCTTCGAACGATTTCAAGCGCCCCGACACTTCGATGCTCCACCTCCAGCTCAACAATTCATCTCATTCGTTGGATCCTGCCCCGAGAAGTTTTGAACACTTCTGATGTGATTTGATGTGATTTGGTCAGCCCAAAGGAGCAGGGGGTGTGTTGGAAGGCATGTCAAAGGCGTGCATGTATCCGTATCCTCTTTACAAAGGTTGCCCTGAGGCCACGGACGAATGAACGGATACTGAGAGACCTTGTGCACCTCATGTCCTCTGTTTATTCAGCGCTTGGTTCTTGTTTTGGTCAGGCGGTCCCTGGTGCCACTGCACTCTATCTTGGGCTTGGAGCTCTTGGAGCCTTTGCACTTGCTTGGCTGGCTTGTACCTGGCGCTCGTGCTCCAGGAGCGACGCGAAGCTCGTTGCACTTGCTTACGTCGGCTTGTTTGGCGCAGGACGAGTCGGACCGGCAGAATCTCCAAGCTTCAAGAGCTTCAAGAACTTCAAGATCCAGAATATCTTCAGAAACTGGACTTGATGCAGCGAATCATGTCAAAGGTGACCGATCTATTTCATCGGGTATTTGACCTTGCTATGCTACTAGCTCAGCCTAGTGTGCTTCCCCTACGTACAGGACGGTCAGCGGGGATATGCAACAGAAAACCGCTGCATAGTGTCCTCAAACAACGGGTGCCCCTTTTCAGCTGTTTGTTTTTCCATTTTAGGACCTTGTCAGCCTTGTTTCATCTTGTTTCCAGGGTCTCCCTGCCTTGTTCTGCTCCAGATCTCTCGGAGTGAGGATGTCAACGCAAGGGGAGTTGTCGTGACAGATTGACCCACCTGAAACCAATGAGGCCTCGGCCCTGGGCCTGGCGAAATCATGTAGAATCTCATAGATTCGTTCATGGAATTACGATTCGTTGTATTGATTGGTCTCACCCTCGGAGCTGAGAAAAGGGAGTTTTGGATGGTTTGCAGGGTCAGTGCTTAGCAGCTTTCAATGTATGTGCCCGGGCTTCTGTGCAGCACGCATCACACGAGCATCGATTTTGCAGGGATTTTATCTCAAATATCTACGGCGAGGCCGTCCGCTCCGGCGTGTTGGCTGAGCCATGTCAAACAATCAGCAAGGTGCTCCTATGATGTACTACTATGTGGCTATGCCCCCGGGTGCGGGACAGGTCGGGCAATATCCGCAGAATGGTGATGCATCAATGCAAGGACAAAATGCCGTGCCAGCGATTTTTGGCGATGCCTCGCAGATGCAGGGCTTCAACATGGGCAACCAGCAGTATGGCTTTGTGCAAGGTCAAGATGGCCAAGGCATGGCTATGCAGATGGGACAAGCTCCGACCATGATGGCAAACGGAGCAATGGGGATGGGTGGTCAGCAGGTGATGCTGGTTATGAACATGGCCCCTGGCCAACAATCCAATCAGATGATGGATCAGAGCCATGGCAATGCCTGGAATCCATGTGGGCAGGATTCGAGCGGCTCAGGCCAGAATTCTGGTGTGATGATGCAGCAGCAGCAGCAGCAACAGCAGCAGTTTCAGCATCAGCAGCAACCCCAGCAACAGCAGCCTCAGCAGCAGCAACAGCCCCAGCAGCAGCAGCAGCCGCAGCAGCAGCCCCAGCAGCAGCAGCAGCCGCAGCAGCAGCAGCAGGCGCCCCAGCAACAGACCCAGCAGCAACAACCACAACAACAGCAGCAATTTCAGATCCCGCAGCAGCAACACAAGCAGGGATCTGCAGCTTGGCACTGGGGGCGTTAATTGTTAGCGTTTTGACGGGGTTGTGTCATCTATCGACCTTGTGGATTCTTGACTTGCGATGCATGCTTGTTTTGGGGTTGGCTTCACTTGCTGTCTTGAATTGACCATCCGAGGCAGAAAACAAAGAGGCAACTGAATCGCAAGCTGCGCAAAGTGCAGCAGCGAAGCCAGCACCTAAAAGGAAAGGGTTCAAAGCTCAGTTCAGAATATATGTCAAATTAATTGAACGAGCAGTCAAGGATCATACTTGCATTTTTTGGTGGCGCTGAGGCTTCAAAACAAGAAGCTCGACAAAAAGGAGCAGAGCGGTTCAGCTCAGCCTGACTCGACAGCTTCAGCTTCGCAGCCATCGGCGCCGTCAGCCAGAGAGGCACCTGAAGAAGAGCGGTCCGAGCGCACAGAGACCCAGAGTGCACGGGAAACCGCCAACCAGATTTCTAGATGGCAGCTGCCCGCAATGGCAGCCCAAGCAGGTAGACCACTGAATTCAGGGACTGCATCCTCCATCAAGGCCTTGAATTTGGAGCCCATGCGAGCAGCGGGCAACCCAACCACTTCAGGCAGGACAAAGCCGCCAATCCGAAAAGAGATTCTTCCACTCTCTGCAGATGTGCCAGCACTAGCGGCACCAGAGGCACCCCAAGCTGCAGCTACACAGGCTCCAGCACAACCCAAGGCAACCCCAGCCCCGGCCCCGGCCCCGGCCCCAGCCCCTGCCCCCGCTGCAGCCTTGACCCCGATCCCAGCTCAAGCACCTTCACCATCACCACCAACAAAGAAGGGCTTCAAGCTGAAGAATGCAGCTCTTACGAGAGCAAAGGCCACTGAAGCGGAAGGCCAGAACAAGGAAAATAAAGAAAACAAAGAGAACAAGGAGGAGAAGGTCGAAAAGCCAATTGAGGTCCCTTTGGCCGTGACCAACCTAGTGGAGGAGAGTGCCAGGCTGAACCTCATGCCTGCGAACAAGGTCTTTGACCGCGAGCTCATGCTGCGGATTTGGAGGCTTCAACGTAGTGAAAAGCATGCTTCGGTGTCTGGGCTTGGCACTGGGGATCGCCCCGCCGAGCGCGGCGCCCCCGAACGACGTCCAGGGGGGGGGTCCAGGTCCACACCCAGCACGGAGATCCGGAGGCCAACTCGGCCCCGAGAGCAGCCGTTGAAGCCAGGTGAGAATGCATATCGCATCAGCACAGGTGCCACCACCCGGATGGAAGATCTGGGAAGAAGAGTTCGTGCCTTGTTGAACAAGATTTGCCCAGACAATTTGAAGACCATTGTGGAGACCTTAGCAAGTATTGAGCTTCAAAAGGCGGAGGAGCTGGAGTTTGTCATCAAAATCATTTTTGGAAAAGCATTGGTTGAACCGCACTACTGCGAGACATACGCAGACATGGTCTTCGCACTGCGAACACGCTACCCAGAATTCCCGGCTGAGAACGAAGGAGAGAAACCCCATAGCTTCACCCGAGTGTTGCTCAACACTGTCCAGAATGAGTTCGAGAGTTTGCCCACCACCTTCGAACCCTCCGACGATGACAAGTCCAAGTTCCCGGTCCCGGATGATTTGAATTTGGAGATGAAGAAGAGGAAAGGAAAGCCTCTTGGATGCAATTCAATATGATTCAATACCAGAGTTGGACATCATGTGCAGTATAGGTTTTTGATATGTTTGTGTTGGTCGGGCCTCCATGGTACCTTTCATTACCATTCTATTTTCTAGGCTTTGGCTTTTGTTACAGTTGTGCACTCGTGAGTGCATTTCTAGTGGACTGGATGATCATGTCGATGCGCAGCCTTTGCGGATTTTCGATGTGCTACTTCAACGATTTCGGCAAAGGATGCTCGCCAACATGAAGTTCATCGGCAACTTGTTCCTGCGACAATTGCTGGCTGTGAAAGTGATTGGCCAGGCCATGGGCCACCGACATGTGACAGATAAATGTTTTGGATTATTACTGTATCTTGAAATTGTGTGAAGTCTTCTGGGCAGGTGGTGCATGACCTTGTTGGCATCAAAGATGGCAATACACTGCCAGAGGAGCACATGATTGAGTGCGTTTGTGAGCTTTTGCAAGCGATTGGATTCACGCTGGATGTTGCTCGGAGGAAGAAATCCAAGCCATGTTGAACGCCCTCTGACTGGTTAACCATTCCAGTATCTATTGTTTTTCCCCCCACCTGTGAGATGAGGGTTGTTAGATTTTATGGCAGCTGCCTTGCTCCTCCTCCTCCGCCTCCTCCTCCTCTTCCTCCTCCTCGTCCTCCTCGTCCTCCTCGTCCTCCTGGTCCTCCGCCTCCTCAACCGCCAGCTCCGGATGGCAATGTTAACCCCGCCGGACCTCGACCGCCAGCTCCGGATGGCAGTGTTCCGCGCCTGACCTCAACCGCCAGCTCCGGATGGCAGTGTTCCCCGCCGGACCTCAATTGCCAGCTCCGGATGGCAGTGTTCCGTGCCGGACCTTAACCGCCAGCTCCGGATGGCAGTGTTCCCTGCGGGACCTCAACGGCCAGCTCCGGATGGCAGTGTTCCGCGCCGGACCTCAATTGCCAGCTCCGGATGGCAGTGTTCCGTGCCGGACCTTAACCGCCAGCTCCGGATGGCAGTGGTCCGCGCCGGACCTCAACCGCCAGCTCTCGATGGCAGTGTTCCCCGCCGGACCTCAACCGCCAGCTCCGGATGGCAGTGTTCCGCGCCGGACCTCAACCGCCAGCTCCGGATGGTAGTGTTCCCGCCGGACTTCAGAATTGTCAGAAGATATGCGTGATAGAGTGCCAGAAAAATGCCAAAAGATATTCCAGACAGAATGCCAAAGTGAATGCCAGTGCCAGAAGATGTGCCAGAAAGAATGCCAAAAAGTATGCCAGAGAAAATGCCAGAAGGTACGCCAAAAAAATGCCAGAAATTATGCCAGAAATAATGCCGGACAGAATGTCAGAAGAGATGCCAGAAAGCATGTCAGAAGATATGCCAGAGAGAAAGCTAGAAAGAATGCGAAAGGGTATGCCAGAAAGAACGGCAGAAAAAATGCAAGAAGATATGCCAGATAGAATGTGGGAAAAATTGCCAGAAGATATGCCAGAAATAATGTCAGAAGCCAGAAAAAATGCCAGAAAATATGCTAGAAAACATGCCAGAAGAGATGCCAGAACAAATGTCAGAAGATAAACCGGAAATAATGTCAGAAAAAATGTCTGAGGAAAGAGTGCCAGAAGATATGCCAGAAACAACGTCAGAAAGAGTGTCAGAAGATATGCCAGAATTGTTTCAATACATGCCAGAGAATTTGCGAAACTTGTCAGACTGAATTTTCATGGTGGGGGTCAAAGTACTTGATATTTTCTCCCGGGCCGTGATCCACAGACGTCAAGACCAATTCGGCTAGATGGTCGAACTTGTGCTGGGGCGGCATCAAACGCTTGATGCTGCCAACTGAGGAAACGCCACAGGGGGAGTCCCTGATGAATTCTTTTGCTGCCAGACTCAAAGACATCTCAAACTTTCGGGTTGGTGGCAAACCCGCTTTCGGCAAGCGACACCTGGCCGCGTTGGCAGCAAACGGCCTTCCAGCGATGAAAAGCTGGCGGTTTTGTGATTGTGAAGTACTCGCTTGTTCTATGTTTGTTTGACTGTTCCTCATGTGGCTATCCAGTTTTCAGCTTGCTGCCTGGGATCAACTTCATTGATCTCAGTTGGGTCAAACCTGTCGTGTGCCTTGGCCGTGTTTTGACGATTCAGCTTTGGGCCGAGGAATCCAATTTTCGCAGCTTGGCTGGGAAAACGCTTGCAACTGCTTGGCCAATTTTGACTCCGCCCTCCCTTTTCAATGTGTTTTACTTCTATTTTTATGTTTCTCTTTCTTTCTCTCTTTGATTTCCGATTTCTCTCCTTCGAGGATTGAATCTTTGCTCGACCTTCGCAAGAACAAGTGGCAGCACCTTGGATGGCCCACATTTCTGTCTTGGACTTTTGCAAAGCTGTTGCGTTCAAGACCCCTTGGTTGATTGAAGTGCATGCACGGGCTCCAATCCACCGGTGGAAAGACATATTCTTCCTTCTCACAGTCCCGAGCTTGTGATGAGCTTTCCCAGCTGATCATGGGTTTCATGTTCGCATGTTGCCGTCCACTTTTCTCGCGTTCTTTTTTCTGGTTTCCCCTTAGCATTCTGTTTGGGAGAATGCAGGATCAATCTTGTCCCACTGGCAGCCAGGAATAGAATCAGAAAAAGGGGAAACGTTTAGGAAGGAACTATATATATCGTATTATCTTCTATAATAGTGTACATTACTATAACATGTTTTTTGAAAGCAGAGGACGTTTGAGTGTTGACCATCCAATTCGGGAGGTTCTTGCTGGAGGCATGGCTGGCTAGGACGGCTAGCAGCAGTTGGACTAGTCAAATCAATCATCACAGTAAGTCGCCCAATGTGGGCATAACCTGAGCTTGAATGGGATTCAAAAACCCAAGACAGCTACAGAATCCACGACAGAGTAGTTTGATCTTTGCCACAGCAGATGCATATCAAGGATTGGAACATATTGGAAAGGTAGAGGCAAGCCGAGCAAGTAGGATTTTTCATCAGAACCATGGTCACGCCGTGCTGGTCAGTGTCGAAGCATGAAACGCAACATCGGCAATGAGTCAGAGTAGGCCTTCAGGTGGTGGCAGTGCCAAATAAGACGTGTTTCAAGACTCGAAGGAGTTTCAGCTTCTAGGCGTGTGTCCTAATGCATGTGAGTGTGCGCAATGCTGCCGCTCATGCCCACATCCTGGCTTGGCTTGTGTTTGGGGAAAACCATATTTCCCTTACGAGATGCTTTGAATCATGCTAAGGCTGAGGTGAAAGATAATTGATCCTTCCACATAACAGGTGACATCAACATATAACATATGTATTGGGTTTCACCACCCCATGCCGCCCCTATTACAGCCTAAGTTTGCCGGACACTTTTCATCGTGATCCGCCATGTCATGCTTTGATGCATGAGGCTTATTAGCTGTTCCTGTTTGGCCTGACTGCTTCCGAACTTCCCAGGAAGAAGCTATTCAAGGAGCAGGCAAAGACCAAGGCAGCGGTACGAGATGAGTTTGATCGTGAGGCTAGACAACATGGCCGTACGAATCCTGCAGACAGCAACTGGGCAAAATTTTGCCCAAAGAACTGTGTGAACGGAAACCAACGAAAGATCTAAAGGCCTAAAGATGAAACAAAGGACAATTAAAACTAAACACAGAAAAAGGAGAAGAGACGCAAGACATCTCAACTGTCTCAACGTTCGGCTGCATTGATGCACCTAGGCATGTTCTCTATCCAGACCGTTGGTGTGAGACCATCATACATTGATGCAACTCGAAGAGAGAGAGAGAGAGAGAGAGAGAGCAATTAGGTATAGCATAGGCATTGCGTTCCTAGCTGCATTGTTTTCATTGTTTCCTCCATGTCAAGTGACAAAAGCTGACGATTTTCATGTCCGTCCTGAGGACATTGCAAACCAGAAGAAGAGAACAAAGGCTGATGCAGGGCCACAGAAGGTTAAGTTCGACCAAGCTTACGTCAAGCAACCTTGCAGCAAATTGAACTTCTGTGCTTTTGTAAGCTGGCTTTCTGGCACTGTTATGCAAGATGTATATATATATATATTTACATATTTCAATTCGTGCGCCCTGACGCGCCTCAGGAAGCTGTGCCAGTACTTTGGGGAAGACAAGGATGGAGACTCCCTCCAGGCAGACTGGAACAAGGCTTCGCCGAATGATAAGGAAGCAAAGCAAGGTGGCTTGGACTGTCTTTGACAACATTGATTCCGTTTCGCTGACTCGTGTGCAAGCAAAGGAGTGGAATGGCTATTGGAAGCTGGATTTAATGACACTTGGTTGACGGATTTGTGATTTAAACTGGCTTTGTGTTCGGGTAGCTTGTCATTGATGTGCATTCAAGGATTCTGAGAAGGCTGATATCGTGGCATCAAGCCTTGCAGAGTTGATGAAGCGACGCCTCGTGCCATGGGACGTCCTAAAGGAGTGCTTCACGGTGTCTTTGGGCACTTTGCCAGAGTTGAAGTGGCATGGCAGCACTCAGCTGACCAATTTCTTTTATAATTTTTTGACCACTCCCACTTAAGTAAGGAAGCACCTACTACTCAATTATATAAGTAAGGGAGAAGTTGGCTAGTAGCTACCTGGATGCTACTAGCAACTGGACGCAGGATAGCTCACGCTTCTTCAAGGAAGCTCCTCCAGCCTGAGGGGGAGCTTCCTTGAAGAAGTGCTCGTACTAATGATTTGCTTCCTAGATTTTTAGGGAAACTTATGGACCTCGGGTGACCTCGGGTGTTGAAGGAAGGTGGATGCATTGAAATCCGTCAACAGGGGTGAATCGAAGAAAGCTATAAAACCTTTTCTGCAAAATGCGGGCACGGTCAGGTTGGATGAACCGCAATGTGACGTAATGGTACATTGTTTAGTCGCACGCTTGCTGATGCTGGACAGTTTCAAGGAAGTCTCTTGGTAAGTTTGGCCTGCTGCAGGTTGCTTCTGGTTTCTGTCGACTTTGTCTCTACTTAGATGTGCTACGAATCATGCCATGTATCATGCCACCCGTGTGCTTCCCAACCGGAGTCAGCCCAGGCCATGCTGAAACCTATTCAGAATTTTGTCTCCCAAAATGAGAACCGCGATCTGGGTTGGAGTTTGCTGCAGCCTGGCAGAGGTGCAGTTTGAAAAGCAGATATGTCAAACGGGCTTCACGGCAAGTCCTTCCAACTTCTATTTGCAAATAGAGTGGGTACCGGTGCAGAATGTTGGTCTTGCCAGGTTCGCATTCCAGGTGTCAGCAACAAAGCAAGGAAACACAGGTGGAAGGCAGCGTGAGAGGACCATCTGCTCCAAAAGGGGGTGCTATTTTGACTGCATGAATCACAACTGCAGCGCGTTTGGATGATATGAGGCATGGCATTATCAAGAAGCTCAAAGTGGAGAATCGCCAGGACATCGTGAAGAAAGCACTGGCTATGAGCAGCTTTGCTGCAAAAGGCTTTGTTGAAGCAAGCAATGTCGCCGGAGAGGGCACATGGTGGGTAGCTCGCGGTATCCTCTCTGCAGAGGGGGGGTGCCAGCCATTTTCCTTGAAGACATCCGTTAGATTTCGATTGCGCAATGCACCTTATCTCATTGGGGCCCTTTCACAGTGTGACTTTGGTCCCTTCTTCCGCTTCTTCCCCAAAAAAGGCACCATCCGTGTCCAGGTGAGTTCACCAGCTGTGCGGCGACAGCGAAGGGAATAACAGCTTCAGAAGCCAAGAAACACTTGGATAGCTGATTTGCCGGAGCTGAGTGAAGCTCAGTGTGCCTGTGTGGGCTGAGGGGCGTGTAGTGTAGCGGAGTGTTTTTCGGCATAGCGTAGCTAGCTGGAGCCAAAGGGCTGGACAGGTTTTCCACGACCCCCACCGAGAGTTGGTCCCGGTGAAAGAGCAATGACCTCCAACCTAATAGCAAACTACTTAAAACCTTTCTTCCTTTTTCTATATATATATATATTTGTTTCTAATAGCGATGGCCTCCAACCTACTGGCGATGGCCTCCACTAGCGATGGCCTCCAACATGTTGAGTATGGGCATATCAATGCATATCACTTTGTATTGGTCTATGTGGTGTAACGTGTTGTAGATGCCCGGCGCATGAACATTTTTGTGTATAGATAGGCAGTGTGCAGCTCCGTGTGCGCGGCACTTGGCCAATTGTTAGTCACTTAACATGCATTGCATTGCACATATCGACTGCAGTTTCTGATGGATCTAAAAAGTGGTGGGGAGCAAGCTGGGCAATGAGAGAACTCAATCTTGCCCAGGGGACACAGGTCTGTGCGTGCCTGTGAAAGCAGAAGCATTGACCGTAGAAGAGCTGCAATCCAGGCATATGCCCCAAGAGCCTTTGCAACTTTATATAATTCAATCATGCTTGATTAGATAGGGGGATGTGCTTGTGATACCATTCTCCCCATGCTCCCCCAGTACTTTGGCAGTAAGTTAGACACCTGCATCGGATTGACACCTGGATTGAGAGATGCGAATGACACGGTTTGCATCGGTGAAGTTTCGGAGTGCCTCTCTGTAAAACTGCGACGTGCTTTTGTGTGCCCTCGCAGTGGAGTGGCGAGCTCCCGAATTCAGGTCCCGTAACGGGAGCAAGTGACCGGTATCCCAAAGAGTTTAGGGTGCCCTAGAACTGCGGAAAAAGGCAAGATGTGCACGTATGTGCCTCACAGGATTGTGATCAGCTTGGCCGCATTTAAATGCTGGGGCAACACAAAAAATAGTGAGATGCCCACCATGGCAGAGGAAGCCAGCTCACCATGACAAGACCTTAGAACCCAGCAAGTGGTGGCAAGTCTGATTTTAGAAGTCATTCTTGCTGCCTGGCAGCAACCGCAAGGCTATTACGGCACTCTATGCAGCTGAACATCACAGAATCATGGAATCATATCATGGCTAAGAAAGTCTACCCTCGTTTCGACCCAACTGTTTGCAATCGAAGCAGAAGGCTTTTCGGAGTGGTTCAGCTGAAGTGCATCAGCAAACTGTGTAAAGCGCGAAAAGGTGCAGAGTGACAGAGGTGGAGCAAACACCTTTTTCTCACTTTGTGAATGGATAAGCAGCCTGAATCCACAGCATGTTCCGTGTGACAGAATTTTGACCACTGGCATTTTTGGTTGGAGAGTCGGGGCTTGCGCGGAGAGCATGGACTCACCAAAAGGTGTAGATCCAGGTGTGACGCAGTTGGTTTTTGAAGACCTCAAGATGCCCATATGTTTGCTCTTGCAGGGGTCCGCGATGACCTTGCAAGCCAAAAGCAGCTCGACCCTAAGGTGCCGTTTGTTTTAGTTTAATTGCATGGCAGGGATATTTGGAACGAGGGCATGACTATGACTGTAGCTGAGGCTTGAAATATCCGCCACATCAATGGTTTGATATTCAGAAGAGTGGTCTGGCAAAAGAACGCCAGGCCGGGTCAGCAAACGGGTCAGCAAGCGAACGCGCGAACGTGAAGGAAACAGGTTGGCTGGCAAGGTTCAGCTATCATGGTTCCTATTCAATCTCCTTGCTTGATAGTATGTTTATACAAGTCTTGTGGTCAAATATCCCGGCCGCACTGTGGGCCCTGCGGGTGACCTCAAGCTGTTTGTGCTCCATGGACCACGCCAATGATCATGCGCCAGTTTGTGCTACCATGTTTCTTCGCTCGTGATCTGGTCGACTGATCCTTTTTTAAGCTGCGTAATCTGCGTTTTGCCAGACTCAAAGAAGCAACTTTCGACGAGCGCATCCGCATTTGGTCGTGTGGATGCTCAAGTTGACAGTCTAACGTGCTACCACTCAGAGGTGCGGTGGGCGAAGCTAGCCTCAGCTCAGGCTCCACTGCCTGTGCTCTCACCGGATGATTTGGAAGATCCAGCTTCTCAGCTGGCAAGTCTTTGCGCACATTGACACGTTTCCTTCCCTGTTGTGTGTGCTAGGCCAAGACCATCGTGCCTCCTAGCGATATTTTTGCAGCATCGTGGACTGCAACCCTGTCCAAAGTTGGAAGCATCCAAGGCCGGCTAGACTCGCGCAGCTGGAGGGGACAAGGGATAGAATATTGTTTCAGATTTCGGTGTTGCAGTCACTCTCCAGGTACCTCTTGCTGGCGCCAAACCCCTGAGAGAGGCAGGGGCTTCTCCGCCTCCGCCACCACCCAGGGATCTGGGATGCTACAGCAAAGTCAGTGTGGTTACTAGGATGCAACTTCCTGAACGCACGTGCCTTTCACAGCCGCCCTTAGCTTCTTTGGTCTAAGCTGGTGCAGGGCCTGCTCCTCATCTCATACCTCCACGACCTGGGGTGAAATGTGGGGGCCTGGCAGTGCGTGATCAACGAAGCACAAGGTGAAACATGGAGTTCAAGCGCACCGCTCCCATCCCAAGGCAGCAGTACTGGTGAGATCTACCTGTCAAAAAGTCCAGCACAGGCAAGGTGAGTTCTTGTCTAAGACTTGACTGAGTCTTTTACCTATTTTCCAGGTGCCTTTTCGTGTGAGCACTGCTCCAGACCTGAAGATGGTTGATAATGCATCGCACTCGTTGATCAAGCATTGAGGAAGCCATCGGAGCAGTGCAAAACGGAGGAGGGTTCTGTCGGTTCTGTGATATTTTTTCGGACCGATTGAACCCGTTTAGTTTTCCGTCTTGGCACTGGCTTGTTTGACGGTTCTCGCAATACCAACGCTGAATTTGGGGCTATTCTGGAGAATCTTGCAATGCTCAAAACCAGGCTGGCAACTTCAAATGCTATTACTGTGAGACGTACAACGGCCCAAACCAGAACGTGTTGGAAACTTCAACGCGCAATATTGTGAGAAAAATTGCCAAAAGCCAAATCATGTGAAACAAACGAGTGCCAAGGTAGAAAATGGTTTGTTCAACGAGTTCACAGTGGCGGGCCCAATGTCTTGGGTCTGCCTTGGGCTGCTTAGGTCCTTTTCCGACCACGGCTTTATAGTGAGCAACGCGTCGCAGGAATTCCCATGCAGGCTGGATCCCCATGATGCCATGTCAGTGGTGAATCCCAGGTCAGGATCGGGCGGGCACTGGTGAATAGAGAGAGAAAACCATTGAACACTTAGAGGTCCCTGGGAGTCCCTACAGATCCTCGGTTTTGTTTGGAAACCACTTGTGCGATTCCAGGTGGCCAGCCCAGCTGTTGGCGCCTCAGCATGTAAAGCACTGCTAAAACACTGCCCGTCATTGGCTGCCTGTCGGGCCTGTCGGCTGACTTCGGCTTCAGCAGCACCCTGTGAGCGCCATGGGGAGCTATCAGAGACACAACTGCCGGTTTCAATATCTTTTCTTGGCGACTTTTGGCATGTGACTTGGTCAAGTAAAGAAGAACGAGTTCTTTTCTTGAAGAGTTTCTTAGCTTGCCTGATCGATTCAAGTCACTTACGCCGACGTACGCTAGATTGAGCCCGTCAGACATGTCGCTGTGCAAAGGCTTCGTGCAATTAGCTTTGCAAGCTGGGCTGTATCTGGCCAGAGCACCAGCCGCTCAGTGGAGAACCACTATATATAGTCACATATAGTCACATGTGTCGAAGCAGACGACAGCAGGAACTGAGTGGCGTGTAAAGCATGCGATGCCTCCTTCAAAGTACTTCATTCCAACACAATGTGGGTCATGTCTGTTTACATGAATGCACTGACCTGCACTTCCACCATTTTCCCACCTCAATTTGCTTAAATCACAAAGAACCACATCATTTGGGGATCGAGCTCATGAGGCATCACGACACGAGCTTCCTGAGTTCTTGGTGGAACATCCCAGGTCTCAGAAGAAGAACAATCGGCCTAGCGAGATTTCCAGCGCTACCAGGCTGCAATGACGCTTTGATGGTCACTATATAGTTGCTACTGTACATGGTACCTGTTCTGAAGCAGTTGAAGCTTTTGAGGTTCATGATTCCAGCTGCAATTCCAGCAGCTCCAGCTACCACGGGCTTCTGCTCAACCGGTGGGTGCAGTCCTGACAAGACTACAGATGCTGCTGCCTGGCCATGTGTAGAGCAAGGCTTCGGCGAGGGTTTAGGGTTTAGGGTTTAGGGTGGCAGGAAACCTCCGGTTCGTTTCGGTTCGTTTCGGTTCCTTGAAACTGGAATGATGGGCGGTTCGGTTCGCAATCCAAACGGTTCGTTTCGGCTTTCGTGAGAATCGGTTCGGTTCGGTTCGGTTCGGTTCCTTCGCCTTTTTAATATACAACAGAAGGCGGCGTTTAAAGCAAAGGGGCTGGCAGATCACAGCACAGCCTCCGGAGTTTCCATAAACTGAGACCCATGGGGGTTGCTTTTGGGTGAATTCAAAAACGACCTGAAAGTGATTTTCGATTTCTGAAAATCGTTTTTGGCATAGTTTGGGCGATCGCCACTTCGAATTCATGTAAAAGGGGCAGGAGAGGAGAGGAAAGGAAAGGGAAAAGGAAAAGGAAACGGAACAGGAAAAGGAAAAGAAAAGGAGAGAAAAGGACAAGGAAAAGGAAACTGAAAGGAAAAGGACAGGGAAGCAGGGTCTTCGAATGCTGTTGTTCGATGTGCCTTTGCTGATAGCCACTTCAATCTCATAGACAGCCAAAAATACACGGAACAAAAACGACAGGCCGCGCTGGTGGCAATGAATGCCCTCTCGTTTGGGCGCGTTAGAGCTGCCTTTGTCACCAGAGGTTTTCCAAAGCTGAAAGTCACGAGCTGATAAGGACACATGCAACATGTCAAATGACCACACTGGCGCGCGGCAGCGTGGAATCAAACCACTGCAATGATCTCACACCTGTTGATGTCATAGGCTGCCGCCGCCCTACCAACTAGACGATTGGCACTTTGTACCTTGAAACAGGAGTGGCGACATACTTAAAACTTCATTACCTTTTGGTCGGCGCGCGCGCGTGTGTGAGCGACCATTTGCGTTTGGACGCGCTCGGGGCCCGCGCGTGGGTGACGCCTGAGGGCACACATGCTCTGTGAGCTGCATCATAATCGGTCGTTTCGGCCGATGCTATGAAGTCTGACATCATCAGTGAGGCGCGCGCGTGAAGTGGACCCGGGGTCCACACATGCTCCCTGTTGTGGGCCTCTACCCTCCTTTCGTCCAACACAACTGTGCTGTCGATAGACCCGGGCTTAATGGAGGTCCACACATGCTTTGTTTCGTGAAGTCTCAAAATGAATGACGGACCCGGCTTAAAAGGAGAATTGAAATCATTGACCTTTCAAAAGGCCAGGCCGATAAAAAGCTGATACGATTGAATGCACCATGCTTCGCCCATCATACAGATTTCTGAATGCAGACTGTAAAAGCTGAAAGGTACATTGGGATCCCAAAAACGATTTCTAGACACCAAAATTCATTTTTGGTAGACCGCTGAATGAGTCATATCAAATACATGATTGAAAATGATTTTCACATGGCAAAAATCATTTTTAGACAGGCTTTATTGCACGTTGCCTGAGTACAACAATGAATTGACATTCCGATCATCGATTCCTCAAAACCTAGATACTTTCAGAAAGAAACCTTCCTGTCGTCATGGTTTCAAGCTGTGAAATCCTCGCTTGGAAAGCTTGGTTGTGACACCTGACGAGAAACGCTGTGCTTGAAAAGGTGGCCTGTGAATGTTTGCACAATAATCGAAGCAGAATGTTCCAACCAAATATAGATTATATAGATGGCGTTGCGGTTCGTAACTGTTCCTTGAGGCAAAAATAGACGGTTCGGTTCGGTTTGTCCGGTTCGGTTCGTGTCGGTTCCATTGAAACTGGTACCTTTCCGGTTCGGTTGGCGGTTCGCGGTTCGGTTCCTAGGGCTTATGTTCGATCTTCGCAAGCTGCCGACTTCTTTTTTGGAGCGGTCCGTCGTGTGCGACCAGTGGAACTCCATTCCATTTGGCCAAGGAGGATCAACTGAAAGCACAGCAGCTGAGAAGAGAAGCTGACAGTCGTGCCACTGCTTCTGACGCTCACCTGGCCAAACTGGCAACTATATTGAACATTCTGGGGTTGTACTTGTGTGCCTGCGCATCATGTTATTGCAATTGCTGGCTGTGCCCTTTCATTCAACACTCCGTCGGACCGAGTCTAGACCTTATGCCATTCAAGGATGCCGCTCTACAGGAACTTGCTGATGCCATTATTGATGAGGGTACCTTCAAGTATGTCCCTTTTCTTGTAGTTTCTTTCTCACGCGGTCTTCTGATTGCTGTTGTTCAACACGGTGTGACAAAAAGCAACACGGTCAATGGTTACTCAGGTTCTTTTGCGTGCTACTGCAGCAAGTGGGCAGCAGAAATATTTGGTTCGTGGCACCTCCGGAGCTGTTTCAAGGCAGCATTTCGTTGCAAAAAATGTGTGGCATTGGTTTCAAGGACAGGTGCGTGAGGGTGTGCCCTTTTCTGTTCTCACTGGCACTTGAAGCACTGAGGCATACCACCGTGATGTTGCACTTCCATATGTGAAGTCGTACATGAAGGATGGCTTTGGGATAGAAGTCTTAGGTGGCGGACGGATCTTGCATGACACCCAAAGGCCGGATCACGAAAGAGTGGCCGGGACACATTTCTAGCTTTTGACATGGCAGGGGGTTCATCCAGATCTACGGCTTCTCCTATGGCTTCCCGTGGGTCGAGGGTGCAGGCCATGAGATTTCGGCTGAGGTGGGGCATGACAGTCCGCTGCCATACCTACCCAATGACTGTGACGACATCATGTTGCCCTCTCAGTCAAGAATCATTTGGCCAGGTCTGCCGTCAGTACTTTTCTGGCTACGAGGCTGGAGATGGTATCCAGCGCATCTTGATGAGAGCACTTTGAACATGCAGGTGAGCTGGTCTGATGAAGGCTACTGAGCTTGGCGCAGCAGAGCTGTGGATCGATTCGCGATTAGGGCTGCCAGATTGGAGCCTTAAAGTGGGCTTCAAGAGCGGGAGCAAAATCAGCCGTTTGAGTTGGAGCTTCACTGACCCAGTGTGAAGCACAAAGCACGAAGCACGACACCCGAGCTGCATTCTGAGGTGGGCGCGCGAAACCTTTGTTAGTTGGATCTGAGCCATGCGACATGGCTTGAAATCGAGGGCACCAACATGTTTGCAATTTACTTGTGCTTCTGTCTATGCTTGGGGCAGAAGCCAGAGAGCTGCACAAGCGCTAAGCGCTCTGAAAGAGGAAGGTTGCACTTCGCTCGCCACATGGGAAAAGACTCGTCGCGAGCAGGTCATCGAGTTCGGTGAGTGACGAGTGATTTTTCATGCAACGCGGTGTGCATGTTGCGTGGTGTTTGGTTCTCAGCTTGCGACGCTTTGACCGGAAGGCTTGCGACGCAGCCAGTCAAATGGTCACACAAATCTCATCCTGTGTTTTGGTGCTCCAAAAACACTGGACTCGAATAAGGATGAACCAATGCAGTGGTTTAAGCTGGAATTGGCCATGCCGCCCGACCAAGATTGAACCAAAGCACTGGTTGTCTCAGGTGGGAAAACTGCCTTCAAGCCAACTAGTATGTATATAATAGTATACATATATATAAGTAGTTTTTGAACCCGGTTGTGGGCTTCAAAACACGAAACTTTCCGCAAATTCCCTCGAGTACTACACAACATAGATTTAGATGGAGTTTGAACTTGGTTGGACCTCTTACCTAGGCTCTCACCGTACAATGAGGCCTTATGGGTTTGGCCCATTCGGCAGATGGTTGTGCAACCTGATGGCTCCCAGGACCTTGTCAAGGGGATCAATGAGGCCCTAAAGCTCCTTGTGTGAACACATCATGGTGCCCGCAGGACGAAGATGCAGTTGTGCTGGCTATCACGCTGACGCAGGTTTCGTGGCTGAAAGGGGGAACTCACCGCAGCGACTGGTCAATCTTGCCAAGGATGCTGAGCGACGCCTGCGCCATGGGTCTCAGAGAGTCGCGAGTGCTTGAAGGAAGTGGAAGCCAACAGCCACTGAGATCAAATCGGTTCAAGCACTCAAACACGCAGATTTGAGGTGACTTGCCACTGGAAGAGGAGCAAAGGCGGGGATTACAGTAATCATGTGTTGGCATTAATGAACAGGATGGAGCCTTTATGGTGGCTGGTGCCTTTTGATTACAATGCCGCCGAACGCTTCATACGCACGGGAGCGGGATAGAGTGTGCTAGCAGCATCCAATCTGTACAGGCAACAAGCAGCAAGTGCTGGGCTGGTTGCTCTGCTGGTGGCGCTCTTGGTGAGCAGACTGGGCAGCTTCTGAACACCGTCCCGTGCGCGTCGTGTGGAGGCAGAGCCCTTGCCGTATGACTTCACCAGATCACTCCTCAAAGCCCCGATGGAGGTGCTGGGAGGCCCACGGATTTCTGTGGTGATGAGACGTTTGGACACAGCAAGGGTACTTGAGAGTATGCGCATTCATTGTGTTGTATATGGACAGTATGCATTCATTAGAAAAGTGTACAGTATCATAGTTTATACAAACATATTTGTATAGTGCTGTAACTTCACAGGCCCAATCCCCGAGAACCTGATCAGGCAGTGAACCACTGATGAGTATGGCAGATTGATTGCCGCGCGCCTGCATTTTCCAGGTGTCCTGGGTTTTGCTCAGTTGCTACTGCGCAGCGGCCTCAAACTTTGCACCCTGGGAGGAATCAGTGACCCGATGTGACCCGTTTGCGCAGGCGTGCAGTCTATGAGCCGGCTCTGGAGCAAAGGGTGCGCCTTTGGAGTGAAGGTCGAAGTGAGAGCCGCGCATTTCCGGGACACATTTCCAGGCGGATTTGCTCTTACGCCTCCGAGCAGATCCCAACGGCTTCACCGGCCAAGGAGCAATAGAAAGAGAAACTGTTTGACAAAGCATGCACTGCTGGAATGCACCGGCAAAGAACGTTAATTTTAGTGCAACCAGCTTTGCCGCTTTCAGGCCGACCACAGCGGCCCCTGATGTATCCACCTCAGCACGGCACAGCTGGATATGTTTTTCGCCGGGATGGGAACACCAGGGACACCATTCCATTTCTGTGAGGTGCTGTGCCATGCATGGCTGGACATCGGTTGCAAAGCGGTTGTTGGCAGCAGAGGCACTGGAGGATTCGAACGGATCGAAGCGGTGGGTGGGTTTGTTGCAATCGAAACTCTGAGATTTGGACTAAACCGGGACGTTGAGGCCAATTATGGCCAATTGATGACTGGCCTTCTTGATCTTCTTGGAAGAACGCTTACGCTTACGAACATGTCAAACCTGTCAATGTGTCACTCTTCCAGTTCTCTGACCTCTAGAATTTATATAACTAATCCTTTTTTGATCTTTTTCTCCAAGCAGTTTATTGTTAGGGGCTCTCATTTCTTTCTTAAGACGTGTCCGCCCTTTGTGTCACTGGTGGTGTCCGCCCTTTTCCGCTGGCCATGCAGCATTTCTATTCGCTTGTCTCCCAGGTCCTGTCACTGCTCATGTCCGCCCTTTTCCGCTGGCCATGCAGCATTTCTATTCATTTGTCGCCGTTCTATTCATTTGTTTCCCAGGTCTGTCAATGGTGGTGTCCGCCCTTTTCCGCTGGCCATGCAGCATTTCTATTCACTTGTCTCCCAGGTATGTCACTGCTGGTGTCGGCCCTTTTCCGCTGGCCATGCAGCATTTCTATTCACTTGTCTCCCAGGTCTGTCACTGCTGGTGTCCGCCCTTTTCCGCTGGCCATGCAG